AAGTTTAATTAAATATTAAATTTTTCAATATAAATATATTTTAGTTTACAAAAATATTTATCTTTAATTTTATTTAAAAAAATTGATATTCAAGAATGTCTCGATATCTCAAGAGTTCAATTAGAAGATCACTAATATAATAGTAGTAATTTAATGCTTGTCTATCGATATTATTTCATTAAAATGTTTTTTTTTTCTATGAAGTTCAAAACTTATCAAAGTCATTGACACATCTTCAATTTTAGTTTTTAAATTTCTATTTGAAACTTTACATAGAGATAGATGTTAACGAATATAATTTATTGCAAAATATTTTTCATTTCGCCGATAAGAATATCATAACTACAACGAATATATCTAAAACTTTCATTAGAAACTATTGTCAGTGAGCTCAATCTCTGTGAAAAAATCAAATTCGAGGTTCGAAAAAAATATTTCTGAAGAATGTCATAGTGTTATCTAAAAAACAATTGTAAACATACAATTAGTAAAGCAATCGAACTTTTCTCTACATATTTACAACTTATTTGAGTTCACAGCATCCTCAAATCAAAAGCAACTTTTCAGTTGAAATGCTCCTCTTGTTAGTCTAATAATTCAGTTAAATATTTATTAATTGATTTTATAATTTTACTTCAATAGGAATTAATGAGAAAGATGCAAAAATGAAAATGAACAAATGCAACAAAAATTATCTGGTATCAAAAAAAAAAGTAATTTTATTTATTATTAATCAAATTTCTATATAGGATCAATGCGTCGTTCAACAATTGATTCATTAGTACAAGAAAATCCAACTAATTATACATATTCAAATTCTCAAATACAAACAAATGTTTTAAGGTTTATCGAAACAAAATTATTTTATTATTTGAGCTTTGTTTTTTCTTTTCTAGATGTGCACATTGTTTTGCACCTAAATCAAATGATTTATATACACGATTTTGTACGGAATGTGGTCTATCTTGGCAAAAACTAACTCATAATCCACCGGATAATTATTCAGTAATTCAAAATAATTCTATCGGATATGATGACTACCCTTCATTTGAAAAAAAAAGAAACTACCTAATTCCATTCTGTTGAACAACTCATAGTTATTTACGAAATTATTTTTTCATAAAAGTCATTATACCAGCTAAGATATATAAGAGCAATGATGAGTAATATGATCTCAAAAATAACCTATATCTGACATATATATGGGTCTTTCGACAATAGTAAAAAATCGTTTTTCTCTTTCAGAATCTTGATAAAGCTATTAATTCTTATAAGAAACCCGAACATATGTTGAATGTGATAGAACTATATATCCGAATTACATTCGATGTTCTGAAGCCTAAAAACAAAAAGAAAGCCCATATATTTTTCTATTCTCAGGAATGACACTTACAAAACTCGGAAAAAGTTGTGTGGTTGGTTGCCTTTGTTCTCGACAGTCATATCTTACAACACGCATCATTGCTATAATACCTGTTAACTAGTACCCCCCCCCCCTCCCCCAGAATAAAAGGGCATGCCCTTATACAGTGTCGTGGCACATCGCTACTTTTTGGATGGCCTTTTTATTGGGGGTGAATTTTTGGTCAGTTTTTAATTAAAATCATTTAAAAAATGAATAATTCATTAATAACTTTAATTATTGTTTTTTAGGTGTTTTTGCTGAAAAAACTACTATTTTTTGTAAAACCTGTACTAATTATGATAGGAAAGGAAGGATTTCGCAAAAAAAAAACATTAGAAAATCGGTTATATTTCCTTCATTGGGAGGGGGGGGGGGGGTATATGACTTTTCAGAACTGTAAAATTTGATAAAGAGTATATCCTTCGACGGATCATGTATTGTTCTACATAACAGTATTGATTACTTTACAAATGAATAGTAGTTATCTTATTTTACACGGATAATTTTTCTTTAATTAGACTAATATATGTACAAATTGTAAATCTACTATTCCATTTAATTCTAACACATGTGTTGTATGTGAAACACCAGTATCCAAAGAAACACAACAGCGACCAACTTCTCAAAATCAGGTTTCAAAAAAATTAATCAAACTTTAATGTTCCTCTCTAGACAAGAATTCTATGTCCTCATTGTAAATCAACAAATTCAATACATTTACGAACATGTTATATTTGTGAAAATGTATTAATACCAACATCGACATCACCAGTAAACAAAAAAAAATCTTATTTATTTTTTCCGTATTTATATTTCAATAGGAAAAACGAACTTCAATTTCAATTCCAACAATATCAAAACAAACTAATACAATAATGATAACATGTTCAAAATGTTTTCGTTTAAATAATCCTAATGCTCGCTTTTGTGATTGGTGTAGTTCATATCCTGATCATGCATCTACATCAATACAATGTACAAAATGTCATACTAATAATGATTCATTTGCACAATTTTGTTCAACATGTGGATGTGTTATTAAACCACCATTACGTATTATTGATACACGTCTTAAAAACGATTTGAATATTTCATCGTCATCAATGATTGCTAGTGTATATTAAAATTAAAGAATAAAAAGAAAACAAAAAAAAAAGATTCTTGTTTTCTATAGACATTAACACATAATTCAGTTAATCCTGTATGGCTTAATGCAAATACAACATTGACTAATTATCATCAATCATATTCAACAATTAGAAAAGAAGTTGCAACACAAACATATGGAATTTATTATCCAAGTGCAAAAGATATTGATTTAATTATAACACAAAATAAAAGATTATTAAATGAAAAAGAATTAAAAGAATATCGTCCAATATTAACATCTACAAGTCCAGGAAAAGGATATTGGCGACAACAATTAGATCATATTTGTGCTCATTTAAAAACTTATGCAGTTAATCGACCAGATTTTCAATCATTGATTGGTAAAGATCTTTAATATTTAAAAAAAACAAATACTTTTATTTTGTTACAATGAATAATAATTATTATTTAAAATATAAATTCTCTTTCTCTCTATATATATATCTTATATATTAATATTAAAAAAGTTTATATATTATTTAATTATTGTTTTAGGTGAACCACGTATGGGTAATATGATTCATGCAACTGTACATGCAAATGAATATCAAGTAACTATACAAACAGTATTTCGTAAACCAGAAAATCTTTCACAATCACCATTTTTTATTAATGAAACAAATGAATATTATCCAATAAATAGTGAACGAAGTTCACCATATTCAAATACAATTTATTCTGATAGTAGGCAAAAGTATTCTTTGCAAAAAAAAAGAAAACTTTTATTTTTTACATAGATGAATATCCAAGAGAAATTACAGAAAATATTGAGAGTGTAAGAATAAAATATTTTATTATAATTTATTTTTGTCTTATTAAATTATCTATTATAATTAATAGTCAACTCATGCATTAATTCGATTATTTGAAAAAAAAAAATAATAATTATAATAAAAAATCATCACATCAAATCGATATATTAAAAGAAGTTCAACGTTTAATAAAAGAAAAAGCTGATGTTAATATTAAAAATAAAGAAGGTTATACGATTCTACAATTGGCTATACGTAATGGGTATTATGAATGTTTAGAAACACTTATTATAGATGGAAAAGCTAAATTAGATAAAAAATGACCGTAAGTTCTATATATATATATCGAGATTTTAATATCAATTGAAATCAAAGATTGACTGTGTCCTTTTTCTTTTTTTGTTCATTAATATTCGAAATGTTAAGAAATTAGATAAACTATTGATTTTGTTTTGTTTTGTAGACGAGGTAATACAGCATTACATGAATGTTGTTTATTAGGATTTGATGGTGCTGAACCATTAAGAATTCTTCTCAAGTAAGTTTATATTTTTTAATTAGAAATTAAATAAGAAAATAAGAAAATTTAATTTTTTTTTGATAAAAGACATGGAGGTGATGCATCTTGGTTAAATGATAAAAATGAAAGTGTTATTGATATAGCAGCAAAACA